CGCTTAACCAAGTGAGCCACCCAGGCGCCCAAGCTTATAAAAATTTTTAATTTATATATATTTGACATACAATATTGTATATATGCAAACAATTTTTGTTCTAAAATTCACTTACCAAAGCTGCAAAAGCCCATCCAGTTTTATTAAAGAGAAATTCCATATTGCTTCGTCGAAGATACACAAGTCCACCAATAACAGCTAAAAGCAATCCCAACATAAGAGGACCAGCATAATTTGGGGGTCTAATTACTCTAATCTAATGGAAAGGAAAGAAAAATGTTTTAAGCATGGAATTTACTTGTTAATTATATAGGTCAAACTAATTCAAAATGAAAGCAATCAAAATTAGTGTGGTTATTGTTGTGATGAGCACCGGGTGTTGTATGGAAATGTTAAATCATTATATTTTACACCTGAAACTAGTATTTCACTGTATGTTAACTGGAATTTAAACAAAAATTTAAAAAAATTAGTGTGGTTATATTTTCAGGAAAAATCATACTTCTTTTCATCCTAATCAAAATAGTCTACAATGTATCCCAAAATGGGATGGGATAGGTACAATATTCTGTTTAACTACAACATAACATCTTTTAGATTAAGAATTATTTGCCAAGTATCACTAGATAGTCCATGGACTTAATAAATAAGGTCAAAAGAGTGGTTTCCATGCTGAATCCAATAAGGTAATAGAAAATGTTTTATAATTTCACTCTTTCATCAGGATGATTCTATTAAATGCTATTTATGAAGGGGCTGCCAGACCATTACCACCTCAGTGATATGGGGATGAGACCAATTAGGACCTCCCACTAAGACTGGAAGTGGATAATGGAAAAGTAACTTTCTACAAGGTAGGGAAACTTACGTTGACGTCAGTTCTGTCAGCAATCCACCGGGCAATCTGTTCAGCTGAAAAACCACGCACCTGCAACTCGTATGTATCACCTCGCTTGGGTTTCCCTTTTGCAGGAAAGTTGATGAAAGTTGGAGCTGAATTCATGTTTAGCTGAATAAAAAGAAGTCCATGAAAATATAAGTTATCAAGAAAATAATCTTAACAGCAAATACGACCTTGAAATTTAGGCATTTTACAAAGACGAGGAAGCCCAGATTTAGGTAGGTCAAGTGATTTGCCTAAGGAAAATGAAAAGTGGTGGAGTTAGGATTCAAACCCAAGACTGCCTGTGACCTTAATTAGTACACTTTACTGACCAAATATTAATTCCTGGCTAAGAAACGTACACTCTACTCCTTTAGAATGGAAAATCTCCCATATCACAAACATTTTAATCTGTTCAGAAATTATGTAAAAAAAAAATACATTTGCAAGAACTAAAACTGCCTTTTGTAGCTGAAGTAAGCTCCAAATAGAGTACATTCTCAATCGGGAGTAAACAAGATAGCGCTCTAAAATTGCAGTGAAAACCAATACAAGGGGCGCCTGGGTGGCTCAGTCATTGAGCATCTGCCTTCGCCTCAGGTCATGATCCCAGGGTCCTGGGATGGAGCCCCGCATGGGGCTCCCTGCTAAGTGGGAAGCCTGCTTCTCCCTCTCCCACTCCCCCCACTTGTGTTCCCTCTCTCGCTGTCTCTGTCAAATAAATAAATAAAATCTTAAAAAAAAAACCAATACAAAATAGTCATATGCAGAAATAGTTAATTCTAAAAGTTTCATAAATGTTTACTGATAAGCATCACATTCTCTATGTGACCATGGTATGCTTAAAGAAGACAACATTGGAATTATTTAGGTAAAGAAACCATAACTGACTCATCTGCATTATATCTTTCCCGATATAACTGTATTTGTAGGAAAGAAAAAGTCTAAGTCCAGGGAAAAGATGCTGACCAACAGACGCAAACATTCAGGTCCCCTCAACAGGTAACCCTATAAGGGAGATTAGCTTGTATAAGACATTTATAATTTAAGGACATCAGACAATAAAACAATCCAACTCCCTTGCTTTGATTCTATACTCACAATAGAACCCTCTAACAGTAATTTTTTAGACTTTCCCATAAGGAAGGAGGGTATAGTGATTAATGGATATGATTATTTTGGTCTCCTTGGCAGTATAATATGGCAAATTAATGAATTAATAGCTGAGTCCTTTAGTTACCAACGTCCACAGATTTTTTTTTTTAATTTTATTTTGTTATGTTACATTAGTCACCATACATCATTAGTTTTGGATGTGGTGATCCACGATTCATTGACAGATTTTTAGTTTGGTGAGTGTGCACAAGGTCTCCAGAACTAGATAAATTCCGGCTACATTGTTAAAAATTCAATTTCTGAGTCTGAAAAGCTAAGAACCAGACCCTGGACCGTGTTCACTCCACCAAACTGCTACCCGAATTTTAGGTCGAAATCTTTTTTTTTTTTTATTTGTATGTATGTATGTGTATATGTAATCTCTACACCCAATGTGGGAGTGCTCGAACTCACGATCTTGAGATCAAAAGTCTCATGTTCTTCCAACTGAGCCAGCCAGGTGCCCTTAGGACAAAATCTTCAATATTTAACTATACCACTTTTGGATTTTTTAAAAAATGTGTAAAAATCTAGGTAATATATGAATCCATTTCCCTTATGAAATAAAAAAAGTTACAGGATTATAAGGACCAACTGCAGTCAATTCTAGCAGCCACTATTATTTCTAGACCCTTCTGAATTTATTCATATACATGTGTGTATACTAACAGAAAACACAATATTGCTTTGCGTCTGCTTTAACACAAATGGTATCATATTAACTATAATATTCTACAAATTGCTTTTTATATGCAGCCATGTGTGAGGGATCTATCCGTGATAGTGTGTGTGTGTTTGTGTGTGTGTGTGTGTGTGTGTGTGTATTAACCTCACTCTTATAGATTACCAAGTAACTATGCTATTGCTGGACTTTAGTTTTTTCCAAATAAATATAATGTTGCAATGAACAGCCACATATATATCTTCCTGTATATCTGGTGAGAGTTCTTCTCCAAAAAATGGACTTGTTAGGTCATAGGGTAGAAATGTTTTAAATTAAAATGGATAGAGTCAACTTGCTTTCCAAAGTGGCTGTACCAATTTATACTTCTACCCATCAATTAGGAAGGTATCTATTTCTCTATATTTTTACCAAAAGTTCATATAATGGGTAAATATTGTACATCACCATTCTTGTAACTTGTATTTTCATAATTACTAGTGTAACAACTTTATACCAAATCAGCCCTTTAAAAATATTTTGTAGACTGGGTGCCTGGGTGGCTCAGTTGGTTAAGCGACTGCCTTCGGCTCAGGTCATGATCCTGGAGTCCCGGGATCGAGTCCCGCATCGGGCTCCCTGCTCAGCAGGGAGTCTGCTTCTCCCTCTGACTCTCCTCCCTCTCATGCTCTCTATCATTCTCTCTCTCTCTCAATAAATAAATAAAAATCTTTAAAAAAAAAAAAATTTTGTAGACTAAAGATACAATCAACAGAGTGAAAAGGCAATCTATGGAATGGGAGAAAATATCTCCAAATCATGTATCTGATAAAGGGTTAATATCCACAATATAACAACAACAACAACAAAAAAAAACCCAACAACAACCAAAAAACCCTAAACAGACTAAAAACTGGGCAGGGATGTGAACAGATGTTTCTCAAAAAGAGATAAACTGGGCAACAAGCACATGAAAAGATGCTCTACATCACTAATCATTAGGAAAATACAAATCAAAACTGTAATGAAATACTACCTTATTCCTATTAGAATGGCTACTATCAAACAAAACAAAACAAAACAACTTTACATGAGGATGTAAAGAAACTGGTACCCCTGTGTGTACAGTTGGTGGGAGTATGAAATGGTGCAGCCACTACGGAAAACAAGATGGAGGTTCCTTAAAAAACTAAAAATAGAACTATTACATGATCTAGGAATTTCAATTCTGGGTGTATATACCTAAAAGGATTGAAAGCAGGGTCTCCAAGAGATATTTGTACACTTACGTTCACAGTAGCATTATTCACAATAGCCAAAAGATGGAAGCAACTCAAGTGTCTATCAATAGATGAATGGATAAATAAAATGTGCTATATACATACAATGGAACATTATTCAGCCTCAAAAAAGAAAAAAAAATTCTGACACATGCTACAACATGGATAAACTTTGAGGACATAATACAAATGTCACAAAAAGACCAATATTGTATAATTACATTTATTTTTTTAAGATTTTATTATTTATTTGACAGAGAGAGAGCAAGAGAGAGCACAAACGGGGAGCAGCAGGCAGAGGGAGAGGAAGAGGCAGGCTCCCCGCTGAGCAGGGAGCCCGATGCGGGGCTCGATCCCAGGACCCTAGGATCACGACCTGAGCCGAAGGCAGACTCTTAACAGACTGAGTCACCCAGGCGCCCCATACAATTACATTTATATGAGGTACTTACAGTAGTCAAATTCATAGAGACTGAAAGTAGAATAGTAGTTGCCAGGTGCTGTGAGAAGGGGGAATGGGGAATTATTTAATGTGTAATGAGTTTCAGTTTTATAAAATGAAAAGAGTTCTGGAGATTGGTTGCACAACAATATGAGTGTACTCAACACTAGTGAATTTTATATTTAAGGTTGGCAAAGATAGCACATTACATGTTATATATATTTTCCCACATATACTGTGGCATATGACACTACTATTTGGAGAAAGATTTTAATTTCTTTTTTTTTAAAGATTTGTCAGAGAGAGAGAGAGAGAGAAAGAGAGAGAGGGAGAGAATGCATACACGCATGCACAAGCACGGGGAGCGGCGGGCAGAGGGAGAAGCAGGCTCCCTGCTGAGCAAGGAGCCTGATGCAGGACTTGATCCCAGGACCCTGGGATCATGACCTGAGCCAAAGGTAGACGCTTAACCAACTGAGCCACCCAGGCGTCCCAAGATTTGAATTTCTTCCACAAATGGACATACTACCATCCTTATACGACTAACTCTAAATATAGTTCTAAAATGGGCATCAATTATGAAAAGCTATTTGATGTAGAAGAAAACTAGTTTTGTATTTTTATAAATCACTAACAGAAATTCTTTGTGTATATTGTTAAAATAAGTGGAATTACAGTTTTTAATTTCTAAAACAATCCCAACTTGATTGAATAATAGACAATGAGAAAGCAATTTCTTTTTTTTTTAAAGATTTTATTTATTTATTTGAGAGAGAGAGAGAGCACATGAGAGGGGGGGAGGGTCAGAGGGAGAAGCAGACTCCCTGCTGAGCAGGGAGCCCGATGCGGGACTCGATCCCGGGACTCCAGGATCATGACCCGAGCCGAAGGCAGTCGCCCAACCAACCGAGCCACCCAGGCGCCTGAGAAAGCAATTTCTTAAACTCTAGAAATTGTTTCCTGTGGTCTAATAAAGGCTAAATGCACTAATCTTTTGGGTTGTAGCATGTTTTATAAATGTACTGGTTTTGATTTATGGAGCTGTGACTGGAATATGACTGGCACAATGACATACTGTAAAATGGGAACATTAAGCTGTTTGATATTTACTGAACACCCATTATGTACTCAACACTGACAGCTACAGGATGTTGACTCTGCTCTTAATTAAGTGACTATATTCTAAGAGGAACCGTCAAATAACTATAGGGCTAATTCTACTATAAGGTAGAACATGGATACATGTATAATAGAAATATAAGAAAATAGTATGGCAACACAAGAAAAGGGATGACTCACATTTCATCTAGAGGATCTGAAAAGGCTGCAAGCGAGTATCTGAAATGAGGCTTAAAGGTACGTAGAATTTTAAGAGAGGAGAGAAAGGGAGTAAGGATACTTCATGTTGTAGGAAACAAGCAACGATGCTGAAATAAGAGTGTATGATGTAATATAAATATTAGAAAGGTGGTTACGTGTCTGTAATAAAGAGTGAATGAATGGAAAACTAAGGAATTTTGGCTTTAGTCTATATGCCACTATTTTCTTTCTTTCTTTTTTTTTTTTTATATGCCACTATTTTCAAAAG